TATATATATATATATATATATATATATATATATATATATATAATCGGATTGAAACGCTCTTAGTATATATATAGTTGGATAGAAGTACTCAATATCAGTGATAGAACACTAACATACTTAGTTGGATTGATGTGAGTTTGTGACCCTGGGTTTGTCTGACGAGCCATTTTGCTGCACTTTAATTGCTTGCTGATGTTAATAAACGAAACGTTTATTGATGAAGTAACACTGGGCTCAGACTACGACGCTTTTCCATAGGGAATTAATTGTATAACAAAGCTCAGTTTTTACACTATATACAGTGCATTAATAGCTAGCCATGTAACCACCCATTTAGCAAATAATTTGCATAATACCCATGCAGTCTTAAACTTATTTTGCCAGCAAATTTGAATAATCTAAATTAATCCCGCATTAACATTTTTCAAGCTGTTGAAAAATATACAATTTATAGATCATTCAAAAAAGAAATAAATTCTGATAAATCCTACACAATAAAACTAATTTATATTGTTTTGTTAGAAACATATTCTGAAATGAATAAAACGTTTTTTCCATTGGTCGTGAACCTATTTTCGCCAGTATAAGTTCATAGGAATAAAATAATTATCTATCTAAGTTTAGAAATTATGATTTTTGTGTAACATATTTTAAAATTGATATATCTGTAAAAAAAAAAATCGTAACATCCTTCTCCTTACGTGCGGATCGATGTCTGCGAAATTTTGTAGGAGATAATTCATCAAAACTTCTATTTTTCTGTTATATATATATATATATATATATATATATATATATATATATATATATATAAATTCTGGCTTGTCTTGTATCAGATTTAATTTTTTTTCTTTCTTTTTTTTTGTATATATTTATATACATACATATTACACACAGTCACAGATATATATATATATATATATATATATATATATATATATATATATATATATATATATATCTGTGTGACTGTGTGTGTAATATGTATGTATATATATATATATATATATATATATATATATATATATATATTATACATATATATATATGAATAATATATATATATATATATGTGCATATGTATGTATATATAGGTGTAAATTTTTTAAAGTTTGTCTGACGATCGCAAGGGCGTGAAATCTAGGGTCACAAACTCACATAAATCCAACTATATATATATATATATATATATATGTGTATATATATATATATATATATATAGAGAGAGAGAGAGAGATAGATAGATAGATAGATAGATAGATAGATAGATAGATAGATAGATAGATAGATAGATAGATAGGTGAAGTTGAAACAGACAGAAAGTAAGCAACGGCCATTATATGATGTACATACATAATGAATACTGCCCAGAACTGCAATGCAAAATAAATATATTATCAAGATTCGTACTGAAGAAAAGCTCAGAAAAAAAGGCGAAAGGCGAAACAGGTTACGCCGTGTATGCCGTATGCCCCGCAAATGAATTAAATTAACAAGTTTATATGCACGAAGTTTGAGATCCTTGAACCGGTAATGAAGTCTAAAGGAAAGCTTTTGATGTCGAATGCGCTTATTTGGTGCGGCCAATATTTGAAGAGTCACTGACTGTCAGCTTCTTAGATCTGCCGGCGTCAGGACGGCCTTGAGTTGTTCATTTGGGCATTGCTTTGAACATGTCTTTCATCTGCTAATGTTATTTTCTTAGCTACTACATACCCACTCTAAGACACACAGACAGACGTAAACAAAGCGAACACATGTATAAGTCTGAACACTACTCCACAAGGAAATTCGCGCATGCGCAACTTCGACAAAATTACAAAACGCACCCTGAATTCAACGTCATTTTTTTTTTTTTTGTATTCGCAAATAATATCCAGAGATGAATGAGCACAAAATCATTTATTTAGTTATTGTTTGGGTTTTGGGTTTTATTACAAAATATGTACATATGAAAAGCTTCGTTTCAGCTAAGATAGACTGAAGTCAAGAGGGACAGAGGAAAACATCGCATTACATACTTAGTGAGCTTGAGTAAATGGATAGGGTTTAGGAGAAATAACAGAAATACAAAAAATATTAAGAGCTACAAGGTAAAGGAAACTGTGGAGAGTTATGATCGCTTACGTCAGGGGGGGGGCAAAATTTGCTTAATATAAGAAAAACATGTGATAAGGTTCAGCACATAATCAAAATTTACAAATACTTTTGTTGTGTCGGAAACCTACCACCCCTCTTGAAGATGAACTTGTCTGCGTCTGTGAACAAAGACTTTAAATAGTGGCATGTCAGTTGACATGGGGAAGAGAGATAGACCGAGAAGTTCTTAGCTGAGCTAGTTATTGACTAATCAGGCGATTTCTGTACCTTTTTACCAACCTATTAAAACCCTTTTTATTGTTACGTGTTATTTGGCGTTTGTCTCTACTAACCCCAAATCAACATCATAACTTTTTTGTTACATTACACATTAACGTTAAATTTAGGTTTTAATTCAATGGGGTCTCAATTCATACCCAGTAAGTAATTATAAAGCTTGCAATTATTCTTATTTAGCTTTTATATTAACTGGGATGAAAAAAGAATCTCAGTCAACGATCAGCATATTAAAGGTCAAAGTGCCGCATATGGCACGCGAACCGCGGTTTGGCCACCCCTGGTTGTACGTCCTGAGGTGTCATGGCGCATAAAGAAGAAAAATCTTTATCTTCTTCAATGTGCGGTGATCCGTCAGGACGTGGGTTATCATGGTTCAGAACAACTTCTTTGCCTTTTTATTTCTTAGCAGTTTATTCCCGTTTTGCGATCTCACCCACTCCCTGTTCTGCCAACTATTTACCAAAGCACGTTTGGTAGGTTATTTGCTGCATCCCTCAGACTCTCGTGTTTTCAATCCGTCGCGTGAGTGTTAAATTCTCTAAGCCTCCTTATCTTAGAATGAGCCCTAGAAATTTGAACTTTTTTTTCTGTTTCTAAGTCTAAGTGTCCATTTTGTTTCCAATTTCTTTAAAACTTCCTCGTTGCACACGTGTTCATTCAGTCCATTTTATATCAATCATCTTTCTTTACATCCTTCATACGACGTTCGTGAAAGGGCTGGTAAAAGCTGTTGAATCCCCCCATCAAATTTTCATTTGTAAACGTGATATATATATATATATATATATATATATAGCATAATGAGAAGCCACGTATACTTTTCTAATATGTATATATAGAAAAACAACTAAAAAGTTGTAAATTAAAAAAATAATAATGTTTTTTGTGAAAGTATTTATTTATATTTGATATTTCAGATCGACCTCGATCTGTCTTCACTTATTTCTGAATAAAGATCGAGGTCGATCTGAAATATCAAATATTAATAATTACTTTCTGAAATATCAAATATAAATAAATACTTTCATAAAAACATTATTATTTTTTAGTTGTTTTTATATATATATATATATATATATATCTGTGTGTGTTTGTGTGTGAAAGTGAACAGGGAAGTCAAGACCCAGAGGCGACACTCTATTTCATGTTAAACGCAATCGCCAGACAAATTTCAATTCACATTTAATAATATATATATGTACACTCGTGGTTGAAAAAAACAGATAATACAATTTGTAAATAAAAATATTACACAAATAGATATTAGGAAAAAAATCAATAAAAAAAGACTAGAAACATCCGTATTGATTGACAATAATCAATCAGCACTGCAATGTCTAGCCAAAAGAAAAAGAAAACCCTGACAGAGAAACTTAAGTTAAAACCAAATGTGCTTAATACACCGAGTAGAGCAAAAACTAAAGGTTCTGGATTTTTTGCTTTTGTTTGTTTATATATATACACACACACACACATATATATATATATATATATATATATATATGTGTGTGCGTTAATTCATCGGGCCCAGAATAATCTTCAGCAGAATATAGGAAACACTGGACGGACGTTTAGTCCGACTTTGGATTAATCTGTAGCGCATATCCACTACCGAGAATCGAACCTGGACAATTTCGATACAAAGCAAACGTCATACCAACTGTACCAGCCGCCTCGTTGACGAATGCGACACAAACTAGACTCGATATAGCGCCGCTACTCACTCAGTGAGTATATAAATGAGTAATGATAAAAGAAAAACTTATCTTAGCTGACGCGTTTCGTCCCTGTCAAACTTTATCAACTATAATTTAGTTTTTATTTTGCAATAGTTTTATTTTGCAATTTTATTTATTTTTGCAAGAGTAAAAATGGTGTTAAATTTTCAGAACTTTTTATTTTTATAGAAGTTCATATATTTCTGATTTTTCAGTTGCGATTCCTTGCTTAAACGCAAAATAAGCCACCCATTATATATATATATATATATATATATATATATATATATATATCAAAATGAAAACATTGAAGTCAACACTCAGAAGCTACAGGCTGTTTCCTGCTAGACGCAATTGTCAGGCCGCGAGTGTTGGGTTTCTTCTCGACTATATATATATATATATATATATATATATATATATATATATGGTGCATTGTGGTTAATCAATTGTGGTTAATCAATTGGGAGCGGCTTGTTTATTTATTTATTTGGATTTGTTTATTTATTTATTTGGATTAGTAAAATTTATGTTAATTTATTTTACTTGTTACGAAGCCACTGTAAAATCACCAGATAATGAAGAAAAAGTATACATAGGTGTAATTGAAGGATCCTGGGAACAAAGAAACTATGCACACAAAACATCTTTCACAAATAGTAAATACGCGAACAGAACAATGCTTTCTAAATATATCTGGGAAAACAAAACACAAATCACGCCAAAAATATCATGGAAAATAAGGAAAAGATCATCAGCCTACAACAATCAATTCAAAACCCGGATCTTTGCTTGGAGGAAAAAATAGCTATTATCGCCTTCCCTGACCAAATTACTAAACAATCTGAGCTCATCTGAAAATGCAAACATGAAAACAAATTTTTCCTACGTTACTTAAAGATATAAAATTGATAAGAATAAATAAAAATAAACAAAATAAAATTAATGAATTAAATAAATGAATTATTACGTTACTTAAAAATCGAAAACGAAAAGAGTAAATAAAAATATAGAAAATAAAAAAATAAGAAAACGAATATGAAAAAACATGTAAAATAAATTAATCCAAATAAATGAACAAATTAACCGCTCCCGCTAAAACAAGCGTTAGAACAAATAAAAATAAAATAAATAAGCAAAAACAAGTAAAAATGATCAATTCACGTAAATAAAATAATAAAAAAATTAAAAACTACCACTGATAAAATAACAGAATAGACTACAGCAATGAATCTAAAGATTGAAGGAATAAATAGCTTTATCTTCCCAGACCAAAACAAACTATTAAATAAGCGAACTGAGCAAATCCCACCAAATTGTTTTACTAAGTTAATAAAAAATCGAAAACCGAAAAGAATAGATAATATATAAAATGAAAAATGAAATAATAAATAAAAAAAATAAACAAGCCACTCCCCTCAAAATAACGGCCAGAATGGAATACCCAGAATGCACCACTGACCCATATATATAAATAGTCGAGATGAAACCCAAGACTCGCGGCCTGAATATTGCGTTGAGGCAGTCGACACGCAGTCTCTGACTGTGTGCGACTTCTGTCGACTCTCTGGTTTGGCAGAGAGGAACCCGGACGAAGGTTTGCCGAAGGGCAAAGTTTCGTCCGGGGAGGTAGACAGATCCCGAACCTGCTCATGCGGGCTCTAAGGGAATATTTTTTGGCCGAGCCTACATGGTCGGAAAAGCCCACGTTAAACTCGGCCTTGTGCCACATACATTCCTCGTGGGGGAACTGTTAAATATCGGCCTGACAGTTGCGTCTAGCATGAAACAGCCTGTCGCCTCTGAGTTTCTATTTACATACGCTCTAACTCCGATATTGAACATTTTATCCTATAAATATATCACAACTTAAAACTATATTTCTTCATATATATATATATATATATATATATATATATATATATATATATATATATTAAGACAGGTTTCGTTAAATAATTTAGACATGATCAGTTTACTTATTCTCAATAGGATCCTTTCATATTCACGGATAAGTTTTTTTGTGCGGTTATAATAGATATATAATATGTATATAATATAAAATGTATATATGCATTATATATATATATATATATATATATATATATATATATATATATAATATGTATATAATATAATATGTACATAATATAATATGTGTGTGTGTGTGCGCACAGGTAAAAATCCGTAGGTAATACTGAAATAATAATAATAATGATGATAACAGTAATAATAATAATTATTATAATAAGGGAATCCTAATAATATGAAATATAAAAACTGATCCGTAAATAGAGCTTAATGTATTTATTATATAGCATATATATATATATATATATATATATATATATATATATATATATAAATTACAAATTAAAGAAATTCAAACCCTTTTCCCTTACTTGTAGGTTTTCTTTTTTTTCCTTTCCTTTTTTTCGCTCCTGTCTCTTATTTGAATTTAAAAACAAAAATTAGGCTTCATATTTAATTTTATCTAACTTTTAGTGTTGACAAGCTCTTCCGGAGCGAAATGGCCATTCGGATGCTGTCTTTTTAAATTTTTTAATTTTCATTTATATTATATATATATATATATATATATATATATATATATATATATAATCGGTTCGGTTTCGATCCGGGCTGGAGGCATTTGTTTTCT